AAAAATGGATCTCTAATTAAAAATATTGCACTTGATATGTATTGATGTTGCACAAAAAAATATATAATTGTTCAGAGTTTGGATGAATTTGCAGTATTTATGGCAGAAATTATTTTTTAAGTTTAGTAAAACTGGTTTAGTAGTTATTTGCAAAATATATCAAATATAAAATTTAATCACTTTGATTTTTAACACAAACTTCAGCAAACATTCAGAACAACCATATTAAATTTCTCTTTTAGCTTTTAGCATACTGCTATACAGATTATAAGGAAACTAATGTCTGATATAAGCTGGTTAGTTAGTCAGGCTGTCTGCTCTGCTAGAACCTGCAGTCAGCTGAAAAACAGACATGCTGCTGATTCTCCGTCTGATTCAAAAGTGTAACCTTAAAAAGTGATGGATGACGCTCCTTTAGGTTCTGGCACATGGGAAATATTTCCACTGGTGCCGTACGTTCAGACCGAGCAGAGCATCCATCTCTTCGTATCGGCGGCATGTGAAGTCAGAGAGAGCTGTGGTTTTTAAATGGTGGGAGGCAGATTCAGCCCAGATGTGTCTCTCCTGCCACTAAATATTTCCCTGCTATGACACCAGCTATCTGCTGGCTGCAAAGTGAAAAACACAACAACAATATTCTGGTGAAGCACCCTCAAACAAAAGAACTAGATCTGACTCAGAGATATGCAAAATTTTTGAAGTTACATTTTCAAAAATGGTCATATAAAGCAGAAAAAGTGTTTGATAGATGAAGCCACATTAGCTTTTAAATAAAATCAGTTTTTGTTGCATCATGGTATTTTCACATCATAAGGATCTTACATACATTTATTTTCTCAATAAATCATTTAATGCTCACTGACGTTTTTCCTCCCGATGAAAACAGTTTTTGCTGCAGGTAAACATGCCAGACTCATCCCAACATCTCATACATGGCAGCTTAATGACGGCCCAGTTAAAGCCCAACTGGGACCAACATGTTTGTGTGATCACACATGTTTACGTGAGCCGTCGACTGCATTATTATGATGATGATGATGATGATAAGCACAGCACGAGAAGATGAAGATAAGAAGTTAAAGCTGGTGGGTGTCCCTCCTTCTTCCTGGTTTAAGGTTCTGACAGAAGTTCATTTAAATTCAAATTAAACAAAGTATGACGCTTCTTATCAATGTGATATGGAAAGATTTTAAATTCAAGCCATTAAAATAATTTAATTTCTAATTTAGTACCTGAGTTTGTGGATGGATGCTCAAAACACTGCCAGAATAGTTTTGTAAACATTTTACCGAAGGTGTTGGTTGAGCCAACCGTCATCCTCCCAGCGCAGGAATGAGTTGTGCTATAAATAAGTTTAATAAAAGCTAATAACTGTCAGGCTTGTGGTTGAGAATATTTCAGTGCTGGAGCAAGATCTCAAGTTTGTATCCAGCTTCAACTTGTTTAGCAACAGCATAAAACAAACTTTGCCTTCTTTAGCCCTCAGGCGGGCTTTGACTGTGAATGGCAGCTGTGGTTGCCAGGGAAACAACACGCACTCACCATCTTGTTGGGACATTTTAAAAGTTTCACTACAGCTTTCACAGCAGCAATTCTTATTTTAACATTAGCAAAAGTGATCTTCATAATCTGTTGAGGTTAACTCATTTAGTTTGGTGTCTTTTAGTGGTTAAACTGATGTTTTACTCAGAAATGCTGATTAAAATCTACACAAAATGAAAACAATATTATTTTAACGGTGTGCGCTGTGGTCTCAGAACCAGCTCACAAGAAACTTCCTGATCAAATTTGAACAAGTCGCTGCCACAGGTGTAAAGATTATTATGAGGTCAGATGTTTGGATGGAATAAACAAGAAGTAAATAATTATACACTGTTTATCCAGAAAACATTCAGTTTTGAAGCAAGTCCTACTTATAAAATGTGGTTGATTTGTTTTTTTTTTTTAAATTATTTATAGAAATATTAACCATGCAGCTTATTCCCAGTTTGTTTTGTTTATCTTCTTTGATTCTATGGTTTATCACTATTTTTTTAAATTAAAATTTAGATTTCATTCCACAGACAACTGACACCTATAAATATTAAACAGAAATGCGACAGGATTATGCCACGTTTTCAGACTACAACTAAAGCAAGCAACTCCGGTTCATACTACGAATATGAACGTTTGTCTTTGTAAAAGTTCTGGATTTTTCAGCTGGCATGTTTTCCATCAGTTTTCTCCTCTGCCGTTTGGCTCAGGCTTCAGTACAACGTTGTGATCTTGTGTTGGAACTTAATTCAAGTATTAAAACTCCAAAAAAGATTATGTTCATAAAGGCCATAAATTCATTAGAAAAGCAGGTTACATGTAATATTTGAATCTTAAATGTTTGTTTTTAGTGGCTGTAGTCAGAAAATCTTCATATTTAACATAAATAAAGACTTGAAAACATCACTGCGTATCTATAAAGTGTTTCACTTTGTGATTGAGTTGCTGGATCACATTCACTATTTAATAATATTGTAACGTATTGACTCCAAGTAGATGAGACCCTGGACTTGATTCGCCCGGTACTTTGCGTCTAGCACCGCCTCTGAAGGCTCCAAATCCAAACATGCAGAGTTCCTTCCTCTTTGCTGGGTGTCATAAATGGCGCTCAGTAATCAGTACCATCCCGCTCCGTTTTTACTTGATTGCACTGAATTAAATAAATCTAGTTTTGGACTCACGACTTCTGATCGTCCGTCCCTGCAGGCGTTCTGGAAGCGGGCTTGCCTCTCCTCGTGGGGCCGGTCCCTGAAGCCAGTGTATTTGATCTGCACAAGAAACACATCAATCCCCAAACAAGCACAATTTAACTCAACAAATCCTTATTTATGGGGAAGAAATGTACAATTTACTGTAAAAATTTTGATACATCTTGGGCATTGTTTTTGCTATTTTCAGCGAAAATGTAAAACAAAAAAGTTAAAGCTGCACAAAAAATAAAACACTAAACCTGAAAATTGAATTAAAAAATAACTTCTTAAAAGAGTGAAGAAATGTGAGAAATAAACTTAGAAATGATAAATCCAACCACCTTTTGTGAAGCATCTGTAGTTAATATGTGTCCCTGACTTTAATCAGCATGTGCAGAGATGAAATAAAGGCAGATGAGATGAAGCGGAGCTCTGCCCGCCGCTTTCACAGCCTTTCTTCTCTTTATTTCCGCCGTCTCACTCACCTCACACTCTCTGCTTAACTTGCGGAAAAACTCCTCATTCTCAAACTTGCTCCTCTGGTCCGGGACTACCCGCGGCATCTTCTCCGACCCTGCGCGGCCACTCGAGCCTGTTTCCTCCTGATCCCGCACACTTTAAAGTTCCACAGTGCGTTTTTTTGCCGACCGTCCCGCACTCAGCCTCTCTCTCTTTCTCTCACTTCTCTTCCGTGTCTGTTTGTCTGTGTTTTTTTCCTCTCTCTCTTCCCTGTGTGGAGCAATGTGCTCCCTGCTGCTGGCCTCAGTGATTGGGACTGATGGTCTGCCTCAGTTTGGTGCGGCTCCTGCGCGCTCCGGGTCGCCTCTGGCTCCAAATGGCTCGCAGAAAGTGACCCGCTGCGGTACATAAAGCTCACTTTGGCCTTGAGGCTCCCCCTCCTCCTCCCTCCTTCCCTCTTGTCTCTCGACGAGCGCCTGATCTTGAGCCACAAACGAGCGCTCTCAGGTCTACCTGCAGCTTTCCGGGTGATTCTCTTCTCGTTTGGATTCGTGCGTAAAAATGGTTTTTACGCACAAATAAACGACTAATTAAGGATTAATGGTCAACCTCAATTAAAGTAATAAATTTTACGCCTCAAAGATGTTTTAGGTTATTATGAAAGAGAAAAACAAAAGTTAAACATTTATTCGTCATGTATCATAGCAGCAATTGTTTAAAAATACTTTATCGAAGGTAAATAAATAAAATGAATAGTTTGTGTTGCACATCCTGAAGGCAACAAGAACAAGGGCATTTCTTCTTTGTTATCAGCTTCAGCCACAAAGTTCCTCTGCCTGTTTCCTTTGTGCCACCTTCTCCGCAGCTGTCAGTGTTGAAAATTACGACACTTTTGCCGGAGCTTGAAGGCGTCAACAGTCTACTTCCTGGCTCCGCCGAGTCGCTCTTGTGACTGTACACCCAAAATACCGCCCCCACTCCACCTCCACCCCTCGTCATTCACAATACTATCACAACCACACGCTGCAGCCACTGCGCATGCGCGCTTCCGACCGGACCGCAGGAACTTTATGGGAACCGTATGTGTGAAGTGAAACAGAGAGGAGGAAGCAGACAAACTGAGTTTGAATTTTTTAAAAAATCCTGTAATAATCCTAAAATCTTCCGGAAAATACACAAAATGTGTTTTTTATGTGTTGTTGTAGTTGTGGGTCATAGGTGAGTTTTCAAACTTTGTGATTACAAACTGAGATGTAATCACAAAGATCCAGATTTCCTGTAAATAAATCAATAATTTTACACACTCAAAATGCACTTTTTAGATCACAGTAACGTTTGGATCAAATTGAAATGGACTTTTCTCTGAAAATTGAAAGAAAATTCATAACAACAGACAACCAAAAAGCACTTGCAGCACGATTGAATTGTAAAGATTCATAGTGAATCTCTGGAGTTTTGTTTTTGTTCAAAGTAAAACGTGTGCTTTATCCAAGATTACTATTCCTTTAGACAAATGAGGATAACCCAGATGATTATGTAATTCCTTTGTAATCTTCTGATTATTTCCTAGCCTCGAAGGTAAACAGAGGCACACCTGTGGATGAATTGTAAGGCAACACCTCAAATAGATGCAACATCATGAAAAAGACCTGGCTGAATCAGCTAAGAGTGTCATCATCCGCAAGGAAATGAGTTCTGTACTTAGACGGGCTGAAAGGAAGCAAGAAGCCATCACTCAACAAGTAATCTAAGAACACAAATTTAAAGTTGCACAGTAGAGATAAATACTTTAATTTTTTGAGACATGGCCAAGGCTAAACCTGGAAGAAAACTGGATGCATTCAGGCAGATATGGAGGCGGCATCATCACGTTGCCATGTCTAGGAGTCCATGAAGATCTGCTGTTTGCTTTCCACCGGTATCTTCAGCTTTTCGTTTGAGTGATTGGTCTTACTCTACTTATCTATTATTATTTTTTAACACGATTCTTTTGTAAGCTAGCTGTACCGGCGCACTTTGAGCTCACGTCCCCTTCCAGACCTGTAGGGGGCGCCCGCGGACCAACAGTGGTCTGTGAACCACAGTTTGAGAAAGACTGGAGATTGTGTGGACACAAAAGATCTAAAAGCACAATTCCATAAAATAGGGTGAAATACAAAATCTACAAAAATAAAAAAAAAGCAAATTATAAAATTATAATTTTGAACAATTTCATAAATTATCTTTGAAATTCCATAAACGGATTTACTTTCAGGAGAAACAAGCTGACAGTGGCTGAGGGACAGTGTGGAAGTAGTTCTGGACAGAATGGACTAATGGGCTCAGGAAGCATTAAAAACATTAAGAGCTCTAAACAGACGACTTCAACTTCCAGCTGCGGTTAATTTCCAGATCCATTCATGACTTTTTAAAATTGCTTTAAAAGTTTTAAATGATCTGGTCATATTATTCAAATCGCATCAACTTTACATAACAGTAAGACGTAGCAGGCCAGACAGTTTATTCAGATGCACAAAGATCCAAACTGGGACTCAAAGGAGGTCCAGATGCTGCAGTTTCTGTCGAATAAACTGTCGAATATTAAATATGATTAATATTTAAGTCTAAACATTCCTGCATGCATGTTATATTTGACTGTGTTTTGCAGTCTGCTGATGTGCTGCGCTCTTGACAGTAACACCAGTGAGGAATGGTTGTTTGATCCTGCAGTAAGCAGACAGATAAAAACATGTTTCCATCACTCAAACAGAGTAAAAGTGACTGTGAGACTCACAGACATTTTTTTGTTTCTTAATCTCTCTCAGAAATCTTTATTAAACCATGAACATGAGCCAGCAGGCTTTCAAAGTGTGTTCACATTCTGGTGCTGCGTTTCTTTGTCGTGACATGTTGTGTTGTTTGTTTTGAAGGTGTTTGTCGGGATGTCTGCCTCTGTGTGTGCTGGGAGATCAGAAACGTGCGTTCAGATCAAAGAGGAGAACTTCTGATGAAGCTCTAACTGTGTGGAGGTTTGAGAGTTTGAGGGTTTCTTCTAATTTTAACTGCGGCAGAATTAGCGGGGCTGTAAAACTTTTGGCCTAGTTGCGGTGCATCTGTGCTGAATGTTTTAGTGATGACTTTTCACGTTCAGAAACAAGGCCTCCGGCAACAGCATATGCTCTCAAACCTTTTTATGGAAAGAAACGCTCCTTTTATGACGCCCGTGTCATTGATTTCTACCAAAGATCAGCCATTTAGATAGCCTGGAGAATACTCCCTCCTTCACACAGAGCTCGCTTTTTTACTGCCGTGTGTGTGCATGTGTGTGTGTTCTGGTTGGAGAGTCAGGGGTGATTAAAAACAGTAGCTGATGTTGTAAAAGGTTTCATTAATTAGTCAGAAAGTCTGTGGTTGCCATGGAAAATAGTTCTGACATTCAGTCTGGTCCAATCATCACAGGACAGTGGACTCGACCTGGAAAGTTTTCTCCTTCATGTTCTGTGTTTACTTGAGCAAAGCTTAACTCGGTTCACATTGATTTATATGTCAAACTGCTTTGAGACGTCTGTACTTTGTTTCATTAGTAAGCAACAAAATGCAAGTGCACTATAAAACTATATTAGTTTTATTGAACTGCATACATTTCAACTATTTATAAAACAGTAAAATTAAATTAAACATAATGCTGAATGGCAAAAAAAAACAAAACAAAACAAAAAAAACCCTAACATACTTTTCATTAAGCTCACATTTCTGTTTTTGAAAATAATTTAATTGGTCTGATTTAATATTCCAATTTTAAACTTCATATTTTCATTATCTGTAAGTGGAAAATCATCATAATTGACAGAAATAAAAGCTTCTGAGCATCAATCTGTGTGTGTAATTAATCTATTTAATGTGTTCCACTTAGTGATAAACTTTATAAAATAAACGTGCTTTTCAATAATATCCTAATGTGTTGAATTGGACTGTTGTTGCCATGATTACAATTTAATCTGATTAACTATAGAAAAGTGAGACATTTAGCTTCCCATTAACCTTTTCCTATTTTTTTCCTACATAACATTACGCAGACTATTCTGGTACTACAGTGTAACACGTTGCCATGTTTTTCTGTTTAGGTTGGAAAATGTTCTGACTTATTGCATAAAATCTCTTCAAACCCTAAAACATGTCTCATCTAGTGTTCAGACTGCTATATGAAGCACTTAAATGTTTTATAATTCAAAAGAGATCCGAATCTAACTTTAATTAAAAAGAAAGTGATATTTGTCTCATACTGATTGCAGTTTGTATTAAAACAAGTGTTGAAACATCCTTTAGTTTTTCCTACCAGCTGATCTCATATCTTAAAATTAATTTGCTAACTGAGGTTCTCAATTTTGATGATCTGTTAACTTTTTCTGTTCTTCTAAATTTACTGTAACCGAATAGTGAATGGCTCGTCAGCGGAGGCAGAGCGTCAGAGTTGATTTCAGTGAAATGACTTTAATAAAGAATGACTTCACGGTAAGAGTGTCGGATCATCGTCTCCTCTGAGGGAAAACATCCCGACTATCTGTGATGAACATCCAGCTTTAAGCTCCAGCTGGTTTAGAGAAAATATATATTTGACTCAGTTTTAGCACGTTTCTTTGCAATAGAGTATAAAACTCCAATCATGATTCACTGTAATAATTGCAGAAACGCCCTAAAATTGTTTCCTGATGACAATGAAAGATTCACATTTATATAGGAATAATAATAGTCAGCTTAATAAAAATATCATTGGTTGATATTTTTATGTCAATGAACAAAGACAACGACTTTAATTTTCTTAAATTGAAAACTCTTTTCAACCATTTTGAATAAGAAACTGAATTGACTGTTTCTAAAGTGCATTGAGATGATGTCTTGTGAATTAGGGCTATTAAAAAGGTGAATTGAACTGAATTGAATCTGATATAATAAACCAATTAACACATTATCCATATTATCTTCAAACCTTTAGCCAACTCCATTAAATCTGAGAATCTGGAGACTATAAGTAAAAAAAACTCTTTGTGATTTTCTATAGTTCAAAAAGATCTATTCATTTGTTGTCTATTTTTACCTTTGATGCCTTGCATGGTTGTGGGGGCTGATGTATATTTTAAGGATTGGTAAAATGTAAAAGGTTTCAAATCAATTTTTGTTTTTAAAGATGACTTATTATATTTCCTTGAACAGGTTAGGATAGGTCTATAGTCTGTGCAAAACATGTTCATTACACTTTTACATAATATCACTTCAACATGATGAGATTTTAATCTGCTCACTTCTGCCTATTTTGAGTTCCTTTCAGTCTGATCTGTTTTAAGGTATCAAATGTGCAATTATACAGCTGTACGTCTTTGAAAAGCAGAAGTAGGGCCTCCTACACCACTAACAAGAACACAGGAAGTGGTATCTGGATGGTAAGTCAACAACAAAACACTTGTGTTTTCCAGCAGCCATTGCACACCGCATGCTGGAGCTCTGCTTGGGTTGCTAGGTAACAGACAATGCGACACCAAAAAACATTAATTTGATGCCAAAAACTGCCTGGGTGTTTTTTTCTTTTCTTTTCTTTTCTAAATGCTTGGCCTGTTTTTAGAAGCAGTAGAAACCCAAATGGAAGTGCAAAACGTGAAAAATGTGAATTTTGCATAATACGTCCCTTTTGCACTACATTAACAGGATCAGTTGCTTGGTATATTTTGTGTTTGTCTTGTTGCACTGAATCAAATCAAATCTACCCTATAGTCAGTAACTCTTGTTGCATCAAATCATTTTGTATAGATTTTTTAAAATTTAAAATAAACCAGATTTTTGGGATGAACAAACCTGAGAACAAGCCAGCTCCATAAAGAA